ATCTGCAAGGGCTAGCCAATGCAGGGGCCACCACATAAACCCAACCAGGAACCTTACTGCATGTTCACGTCGGCGCATCCCAGGGGAGCAGGGGACTGGAGAGCCAGTTTGCCGTTTCAACGGGGGTTTGGACGAGTGGCTTACAGGAGGAGAACGGGGTGATGCAGACAACTGGGATATCGACAACTGAAAAGAAAATTATTATAATTAAGATGATGATATTAACTCTGCTAATGAGGCTGCTGAAGGAGGAACTGCCAAGGTGCAATCTGGACTGTGGAAAATCTTGCTGGATTAGGAGGGCCAGGAACTCCAACATACGTTGGCAGTTTATTTTACATGGTCTGTGCAAATGTAAATGGTCAGGAATGACCGAACTGAGCTACCCCTCTGCTGTTCAGATACGCAGCACAGCTCGGACACTTATGGGTTCCAGACAGGCCTGAACTACGTTTTCTAATTCAGCTGTTGATGCTGCAGTGTGCTGTACATTGTTTTGCAGAAAAACCCACAAACGTTTGACAAGAGCAAACAGTCTAATAATGCATGCTCATGAAGTATTAAATTTCATCAAAAATATTACCGTGTAAAGATCTCTGTAACAAGAAGGAAAAACAACAAATAGGCTTTCAATGTTTGTATTTGGCCTTAAATCCTGAGAACTATCCCTGCAAAAATTATACGTCATTGTCAATACACTTCCACTGTGCTATAGAACAAAAGCCTGCAAATCTGGTCTGCTGCAAATGACTCCCTCAAAAAATACAAAGTCCAGGGCCTGAGAACAGCTCAGAGATTTCTGCCCAGCAAATGATATGTAGATTCTGGTTTGCTGCTTCTGGGGATATGGATTATAGCAGGAAATTGTTGTAGTTTGGCCACAAAGACCTTAGAAAGTGATACTCAGTGGGATATCGGCATAACTCAATGAGCTGGATCGCACTATATGAAAATAGCTATTTTCAAGGAAATGCTGCTGTGTGTGCTAAACTTCTCCGTCTAGTTTATACACTAATCATGTCTGTGTGTGGACAGTTCACATTTTACTACCGAATTAGGCAGGTTCTTTACAACAGTATTTTTCAGGGCCTTATTGATGGGAAAAAATTTGACCTGGAACAAACAAACGAACAAACCCATAGAAGAATTATTTTTATTTGTCTTATAACTTAATGGTAATTGAGAATAAGGTAAATATATGATCAAAGAGGGATGAGCAGCAGAACCGCTATTTCAAAGCCTGCTTTTTATGCAGTATTATGTACAAATATGATTTATGAAATACTGACTTTTCATCTAGTGATCTTCAAGGGCAGATTACAGTAGCCTAAACCTTGATCATCTCTCACTGAAGACAACTATAAATTTCTCCTCTCTGCCTTCTCCTGGGCTACACAAATGACCACTGTTGATGCCCTCTTCTCCTGGCACTCTAACCAAGTCACCGCTCCTGAGCCCCCTTCTTTGCTTCCTGTCTCTTCTCTCTCAGATTCAAACTCCTTTATTTATCAGTAGTGACTGGGCCAGGCATCTCCGTGGTGTCACTCCATTAACTAACTAGAGTTACACCAGAGGGAAATTGCACCTTTAGAATCTTCATATTTAACCTGTTATTGATTTGAAAACATACACTTAAAAAAAAAATCAGCTGCAATATTTCCCCTCCTGGCCCCTTTCTAAGAAAGAAAGACTCATTGAACTAAAATAATTGATGCTTAAATCTAATGTCCCAGTAAGGCAACTGCAGAGGGCACATGTTGCACCATCAGGCACTTACCCCAGGTCCTTGAGGATAGTCTTGAGTGGAAACCAACATCTGGGGGGAAGATGGTGCACCTACCGGGAAGCAGAGACAAGAGAAGGTGCAGTGAGCCTCCAGAACAGCCAGAGAATAGCTGTCGGATTGATCAAATGCCAAATTTTTGTTTCCATTAAAGCCAGTTAAGGTTTTCCTATATTCCAAGGGCGGAAGGGACCATTGTGATCATCTAGTCTGAGCTCCTGTATCAGACAGGTCAGAGAACATCTCTCACAGAATTCCTAGAGCAGATCTTTTAGAAAAACATCCAATCTTGATTTACAAATAGTCAGTGATGCAAAATCCACCATGACCCTTGGTAAATTGTTTCTGTGGTTAATTACATTCACTTTTCAAAATGTGCACCTTATTTCCAGTCTGAATTTGTCTAGCTCCAATTTCCAGCCATTGGATTGTGTTATATCTTTCTCTGCTAGATTGAAGAGACCATTATTAAATATTTGTTCCCCGTGTAGGTACTTACAGATCAAGTGATCCCTCAACTTCCCTTTGTTACACTACATAGATTGAGCTCTTTGAGTCTGTCACTACAAGACAGGTTTTCAAATTCTTTAATCATTCTTGTGGCTCTTGTCTGGACCCTCACCAATTTATCAACATCCTTCTTGAACTGTGGGCATCAGAACTGGATGCAGGATTCCAGCACGGAATGCACCCCTGCCAAACATGGAGGTAAAATAACTTCTCTACTCCTATTCGAGAGTTCCCTGTTTCTTTATCCCAGTATCACATTAGCTCTTCTGGACACAGCATCACACTGGGAGCACAAGTTTAGTTGATTATCCACCATGACCTCAAACCTTTTTCAGTCACTGCTTCCTGGGATAGAGTCCTCCACCCTGTGAGTGTGGCCAACATCCTTTGTTCCTAGATGCATATATTTACATCGAACTATTAAAACACATATCGTTTGCTTGCATCTGTTTACCAAGTGATCCAGATCGCTCTGAACCAGTGAACTGACCTCTTCATTATTTACCATTCCCCCACTTTTTGTGTCATCTGCAAACTTTATCAGTGATGATTTTATGATTTCTTCCAGGTCATTCATAAAAATATTAAATAGCGTAGGACCAAGAATCAGTCTCTGAGGGACCTTGCTGGAAACGCACCCATTGGATGATTCCGACCAGTTAGCCAGTTTTTAATCCATTTAATGTGCTCTTTTAAAACTCTTGGATGCAAGTTATCTGGACCTGCTGATTTTAAAATGTCGAACATTAGCAGCTTCTGTTTTAACATCCTTCAGAACCTCTAGTGAAATGGAAAGAGTGCTATCATCACCATGTGATGAGACGATATCATCTGTTTTTCCTCCAAATACAGGACAGAAATATTTATTGAACACTTCTGCCGTTTCTGCATTATTATTGATAATTCTACCACTTCCATCTAGTTATGGACCAATACCATTGTCAGGTTTCTTTCTGTCCTAATATATTTTTAAAAATCCTTCTTATTGTCCTTAATGCTGCTGGCCATAGACTTCTCATTGTGTCCCTTGGCTTCCCTTATCAATTGTCTATAATTCCTAACTTCTGATTTATATTCATTACTATCTACTTCCCATTCTTATATATTATTTTTTGTAGCTGCCTTCACTTTCTCTCTAAACCACGTCAGTTTTTTAACCAGCATGGCCTTCTTCCTCAGTTGTTGGATTGTGGCTTTTTGTGAATCTAGTAAGTTGTTCTTAAATGATTCCTAATTATCATTCAAATTTTTTTGATTAAATTCTTCCTCCCAGCTGATCTGGTGAAGACACTTAACTATGGGGATGTGAGACGCTGTATTTCAGCCATTTGGCTGACTTACTTTTGCAATAGGATTGTCACCTGGAAAAAAAAATGTGTAGCAGTTCACTGGGAGTTTTTTAAGGGAATTAGGCTAAATCTGCCATTTAGTACTTTCCTGTTGTAAAACATAGATTGTCTATCGCTAGACAGTACTGCATTTTCCCTTGAAGACATGTGGTACTGGCTAAGTGGATTGCTTAATGAGACGTGAACGTTTTGGGATGCTTAAGGTTTTCATGGCTGTTCTATTATTTCTTGTCACTATTTCATCTGTTTGTACATTCATGCCCTGAAATTGCCTGGGTTTTGTTGTGTTTATCTTTGGCTAGTCTACTTGTTCTCTGGCACTAGATGAACTTGCTCTTCTACTAAGCAAGAAATCCTGTTGCACAGACTCCAAGCACAGATGTTTTCTGGCAATGCTGAGACTTAGTTTTGCTTTCTCCAATTCACACATTCCAGATATTTAATTGGGAACATTTCCCAAGGAAACTAGTGAGCTTCCCTTAGGCCTAAATTACTGTGTTCTTTCGATTACAATGGATTTGGCCATTAAAGAGGGTCATTATTAGAAATGCACAAGGCTCAGTAGTTGTCAGCACAGGAAAGGAGTAGAAGAGGTTTCTTGCTAATCAGTTCATAGGCCACTAGATCAGTGAAAAGAACAGGAGTACTTGTGGCACCTTAGAGATCAGTGACTTAGATATATGCAAGAGCTGAGTTATGGAGACTATTTTAACAGATATTAACCTCGCATTGCCCACATGGGAGGAGACAAGTAGGAAGAAAGGCCAAGTCTGCCCAGGAGTACTGTGATTACTGGTAGTGGGTCACTTTCCAATGGTTTAGTAAAGCTAGAGTGACCACATTTCCCTATGCTGAACATGGGACAACTGGTAAAATTACTTATATTCAAGCGAATTCAATGGCAATCGTACAAACGTTCAAAATAGCACCAGGCTGACTGAGCTCCTGTTAAAAAGTAATACTGCGGAGTTGGATTATTTTTATTTACCTTCTTACCTTTAAGGCTTTAGGGTTACATGGGGAAGGGGGTGACACACACACATTCCCGTACACCTCTCTCTCACAGCCGGGGTGACCAACTGACCCGACCCTCCCTGCCCGGCGTTCTCCGCCCACCATGCCTGGCTGGGCCCCCAGGACCCGCCTCTCCTGGTACCTGGCACCACTTCTTCCTGAGACAACACGCGAGGGGGGAAGCACACAGGGTCACATGGCCGCCTTCCCCAAATTTCTGCCAGAAATGTGGCCAGCAGCAGCCTTTCGGCCCTGTGCGGGAGGGAAGGGACAGGAGCTGCTTCCAGTCGCAGAGGAGGAGGAGGGGCGGGAAAGGATGACCTGGCCTATGTCTTTGCAAAGCTCACTTCCCAACCCCCCACCCCCGGCTGGAAGCAGCTGGTCCCTTCCTACCCGCACACTGTCGAAAAGCAGCTAACACACCCAGGCTGCTGCTGGCCACTGACATAACCCTGCCGCCTCCTGTCCCTGGCTACAGCACGGGCAGGAAGGGGTTAAGCCCTAAGGCTGCATTGTGCACCAGGGCCCCGGGAGCCGGACTGCAGGGGCTTCAGGGAACCGGCCAGAGATATGGCTCAGCAGGGGAGGGTGCCTAGGGGAGGGAGCAGCCCTGTGCTCCCTGGGGGCAGGACCCAGGGCGGCGGGGGGGCGGGGGGGGACATCTGAAGGATGGCTTAAATACGGGACTGTCCCTTTAAAAACAGGACATAAGCATCCAAACATTCCACTCCTGTTCCAGATCCTGTCTGAAGGATCCCATCCTATTAGGTTTGTCAAACTGCCTTGTAAATCTCAGGAGAACAGGCCTCCCTGGGGGATTTCTACTCTTTCTGCTCTTGGATGCCTTGTATAAGCCACGGGAAGAGCCCAACTTGTAGCATTTTGCAACTTCTACCACACACTGGTACCAGGAGGGGCAGAAACACAAACAAAATGGAAAGAATGTCAACCACCCAGTGCAAGTGGGAGAGAACCACGTGTCAGTTCTCCATTCCCCACACCCTGTTTGCCGGCCTCTAGCAATGGCAAAGGCGAGATTTCAGTTTGATTTCAGAATTCTGACTGTTGCTGCCCAGAACAGCAGGATTGGTGTGGGCTATAGGAACTAGGTATCGTCCCTTTAAACAGTTTGTGAGCCTTCTAGTGGCTCTCACTGTGTTCTGTGGTTTAGAAACCACCAGGACCCAACCAGAGCAGCAGGTGTTTAGCTAGGCCCTGCAATGTTGTGTACAGTAGCACTGGTATTCGGACCCCCTCAACATGCCCGTGTAGTTTCTTCATATTACGTCTATTGTGTAAGGAGCCAAAGACATCAGTGTGTGGCACAACAAGCAACTGGACTGATGGGAGGTCTATCCAAGCTTCTTTGGCCATGAAGTCCTGATGTGAGTCTCAGAGGGAGAGAAAACCTCCAATGAGGTAAAAAAGACAAGAATAAAAGTCTTTGCACGAGTTTGGGATGCAGAACTATCTTTTGCATACAGCCTCTTTCTCAACTACTCGCTTTAATCTGTTTCATGTAAAATCACGGTATTTTTGAGCGCTTCAAAGCTTATGTGCAACATCTGCTCAGTCCTTCTCCAAGAGTAACCTTTTTTTCCCAAGAGTAGCTAGAAAAAAGGTTATTCACACTGTAACTTGTAAGAGAAGTACATGCTGCATGAGTGATTATCTTTAACAGGGATCTGACCTAACAGATTGTACCAAGTCCTGCTGTGCACTTATAATTACGATCAACTTCTAAATAGGTAAAACAAGCATCAGTTCTGATTACAGTGAATAAGCAGGGTCTGCAGCCATGAGACACCTAGAAGGAACTGCTGGAGAATTAATCCATTGGACGCATCCCAGAACAGAATTAATTCTTATGTCCCTTTTAATAAATGGGATGATATAACAGCCATCCTATTGGCCAAAATAGGCAACACCATGGCCCTAGCAGTGCACAGCACTAGCTCTTTCAGGTGAAGATGTCCCCTTTATCCAATCAAAAAGGAAAGGCAGGAATCAGCGTCTAAGTGCACTTCAGTCTGGAACGTTTGAATGACTGGGGAGCCCTTTAGGTAGCACATCAGATCACACAGTGTCTGTTTTACTTACGCAATAATTCCCACTGCGGGGGGCGCCACAACATGATGCCCAGTGACAATAAGAGTTCTGTCTTTTAAGCCCAAGGCAAG